TGTTATTTGTTATTTGTTATTTTTGTACGCGTGTCAAAAAATACTTAAACAGGCGTCCTGTCTTGATAGTAGTGCATACAGTCGCACACATAAAGAGTCGTACAGTAAAGCATCCAGAAAACATGACAACAAATATAAAAACACAAGGTACAGTATGAAATTCATTAATTTTTTTTATTGAAAAAAAAATCAATAAAAAAAAAATCAAAAATACCCTATATATTGTATAGTAACTGTTAATCTGATTTGCTTGTGTTTTCTGTTTTCAGGCATTTTTGGTTTTAGGCAAGATATCACATCACAAGAAAAGTATATTATTTAAATTAATCATTGGATCATAAGATACAACCAGTACCTACAGATTTAGAAAGATTAACGCCAGTATTTAGCCATGTTATATAAGCCAATAATTGTTTACATTATAATTAATAATAACCTGCTATTTTCATTGTACACTTGTAATAATAATAATAATCATTTCGGCATTACATGTAATTAACTTGGTCTAGGCTTGTAATCAAGAACCTGCCGATTACTATGCCTAGTATTAATAACTAGCTCATTTTTACATTCATTTGGTGCTCTGCCATTTTGGCAGGTCTTATGGCATCCAGTATTTTAGAGCTGCCTATTCACAGCTCTTCTCTTAATTTAAAAATAACTGTCACCCTGTTTCATTTGATGAAGAAAAACGCGCTTTTCCTACTCTTTGTGCTTTTCCCAGAAAGGGTCTTAGTAGGCCTAGGTAATTATGCAAAACCAAGGCCTAACTAAAAAATTAAAATTGTCATAGTATGTAACTCAAGTTAAAATAACACTTTTCATTACTCGTGCAGCTAATCAAATATTATATGTCATTTAAACGACCCATTGGTATTAACATAGTAACATCAATGTATTTTTAAAAACTAGACAGCGACGTTCTCTCAGAAGTTGTTTTGTAGACGTTTATCTGTTGATGACCTTTTGACCTCCTGAATTCTGCAATGAGATTTTCGGGTCGATTCAGCCGAGACGGCCCGAGTGGAGTTTCATGTAAATGTTTCGTACGGAAAAAAAATCGCCTCCCGGCGAACCTTTGTTGAAGCGATACCGGAGAGAACAGGGTGAAAATTAGGTTTGGTTTTTTTGTTTTTTTTTTTTTTTTGCACAAGAACTTATTAAAAAATCAAGCCAAGCGTCCACTATTACAAAAAATATTGGACGGTGGGGAATAGGCAAATAACATTGGGTGCAGTGCTTACGTCACGATTGACTTACAACAACATTTAAGGAACGATCACTCGTGTGAAGATGGCTCCAATTGCATAGAAGATGAAAATTTGCACGTTAGGTCTGTATACGCATGCTTGAATAGGGGCACCCACTGAGATCTAAAAACAACGACTATCAAGGATTAGTATTAGTTCTAGCTATACGTTGAAAAGCCTGGGAAGACTTGTAAATTGAGAAGATATAAATCGAGATGGTTTTAGAGTTTACTTAAAGTGGAAACAATCCGAGGGAAAAATTAACAAGTGACAAGTGCCATAGTTCTATTTTTATGTAATTTCATTTATTTTTCATTTAATTTTATTTATCTAGTCCAAAGAACATTTTGTGTTTGTCAGTTTTTCTTTGGACAAATAAATGAAATTTATTACAGGTTACACGACACAGGTGTGCCGATAATACGAAAGCGTTATCCAATAAATTGACTGATTGACTCTTGATGAATTCGAAGTACTGATGAAGCCTAAAGACACGTTGTAGAAATGTTATTTTAAAAATTTTGTTTCCATGTTCACATAAGAAATAGAGGAAAGAAAACAGGAAATTGCCTTTTAACATACTTTCTCTTTTGGCCTATGAATATCACACATATTTCCTAGTCGTTCTGTATATAACGATATTTGGCTGCATCAGCTAATACCGTACTCCAGCAAGGAGCGGCAATACTATTTCTGGTAAGAAGCGCCAAAAGGATGGAAGCGTTTATTTTATTATTAATACGTCTGTTCGTCTACAGTACTGTTGCGCTTAGAATACCCTTTAGTTATTCAAATTCAAATTGTTTTATTTCCACACAGGTTTCATTAAACATGAACGTACCGTACTTCAATACATCAATACAAGTTTTATTTTGTTATCCTTAAGTACCACTCAGAGTGTGGTGTGGGGTGGGGTGAGTCAGGTAAGCAAAATAAGGCTCTTTCACGATTATTACGTCTACTTGTATTCAAAATTCTATGTTATGGTTGTTGGTAACAAAACAGGCCAATTTAATTAAATATTGCAGTACCCTAATACTGTTGTGTAACACAATAAAAAGTAGAATTTGAAATTACCTAAAATGAGTTGTTTAATGATTCGGATATTATCGTTGGCCCGTGGGCTCAAAAACATATATTTAGCCCTTTAAAAGAATTAATTAAGAACCATGGATATAGTCACTGGACCGATACAAATTTAATTCCCGGTCCTAGGTTTACCATTGTATATAATCCAATGACCAATAAATGATCTTGTGCCTTTGATCATTATTGATCATGAATTGGCGCAAAAAATCGAGATATTATTATCAATATGATTTTTATCATCTGAAGAAAGATGCAATGATAGACCAATATAACTTGTTATCTTACATAGAATCGAGATGGAAAATCATAGGGAACATTATAAAATGAGGACCACGAACTACCATTTACAATAATTTAAAATATCTACCGTAACAAAACACATTAATGTTTCCTACAAAACCTGATATCATCAAAAAACAACAATGAAAAAAGTTCGCAAATTACCAAGGAATGAAATAAAATAAAAACATTAATACTGGAATTGAACTAACCAAGTCAGCCAAGATAGAGAAGTCATGTGACTATTTGGCGGAACGACAATAAATCTAAACCAATACCATTATTATTATTATTATTATTATTATTATTATTATTATTATTATTATTATTATTATTATTATTAGTATTAGTATTATTGTTAGTATTATTGGTATTGGCATTGTCATATCATAATCATCATTATCATTGTTGTTATCATCATAATCATCCTTATCAGAATCGTTATTAGTATATTATTTATTATTATTATTATTATTATTATTATTATTATTATTATTATTAAATATTTTGTTGAATGAATGAATGTATTATTTGTAGTTATTATCATGACTTTAATCTATAATTTACAGGATCTTCGGAGGACATGGCAGATGCCTCATCTATTTTTGTGCAGCGAATGCCAACATCCTCATTCGAGGTACACAAACCGCAGATTCCAATATTTCCAGATAGACGAACCACTGAAATTCATTTAAACACATTTTCTAGAAAGATAGGACATGAATGGCAACGGCAGCGGAAGCAGGGGTAAGGGGGGGGGGGAAAGGGCAGGGACCATTGGCCCACCCACTTTTTCTACTGAGGGGCCTACCCCAACATTTGTGACTGTTCTCAGCACCAGTGACAAACATTTTACGAACGCTACAATTTTATTATTATTATTATTATTATTATTATTATTATTATTATTAATATTATTATTATTATTATTATCATTATTATTATTATTATTATTATTATTATTATTATTATTATTATTATTATTATTTATTTATTTATTTTTATTTATAATGAGCATTAGGTCTATAAATCCCCTTTTTGAGTTGAGTAACCAAATGTTAATTGACGTCTGTATACGCGCGTCTGTAAAGTTTCCTGAAAAACCCCACCCTCAAGCATGAATAAAAAATCGCCTGCCTTCGTGAATTCTGTATTTAGGCATATGGGGGTAGGTAGGCACTCTTAATGGAGCGACGCAATCTCTTTATGCTAATGTATAGTAAGTATAACTAATTGGCTTACAGCAAACCTTCAAACTAGCGGAATATAACTACATTTAAACGCCATCTAATTTAACGAAAACAATAAAATACTGTAATTAATTAAGCCGTTTTAAAAAATAAAGTTCTCTAAAGGTTGAATATCAGAATTTACAGCATGTAGTTAATGTGTTATAGGTTGTAAAAATTGAATAAAACAAAAAATCTTTCGAATAAAAATATCTTTCGCTTGACACTAGGAATTTGTGATACAAAATGATAGGCTATGTCAAGTGTCAATTGAACAGAGGCAGATTCAAGGGGGAACCCGGCATCCTATTTTTTCAAAATTATTTTTTTTAAATGGAGAAAACAGACAAAATTGTATTCAACTTTTAATCTGAGGGTGCCATTTCCGGCCATATGGAGGTGCCATAATCATAATTTTTCTTACCTCAGCCCCAACAGTTGAGGTGGGGGTGGGGGGACACTATTTGCGCAAAACCCTCACTCCCCTCTATTTCGACTTCCTGGACCCGCCACAGTTGGAGTATCATTTCTGGGCTACATAGAAGGGTAATTTTTATTCATCGGGGAAAAGGAACAAGGATCACCCTCATGATAAACAATGAGATCGTGAAAGCAATCTCGGCTTCGACTTTGTTCGGGAATTTGTTTCGCATTCAAGAAGAGGGGGTGGGGCGGGAGGCTAAATTGTTCAATTTAAAACAAAAAATGGAGATATAAGGAAAATTATTTTCAAATTTTAAGTTTGAGAATGTAATTTCCCGCCATCTAGATTTGCCATAATCACAAATTTTCTTACCTCATGCTGTAAAAGCCCCACCCTGGGTCACCTCTCTGTTGAATTCCTGGATCCACTACTGTTGAGTTTTATATAATTACTGTTAGGAATATTATTTATAATGTGTTTATGCTACTTTCCAGGGGCTTCTCCCCTGGACCCCTCCCCCCCTCTCCACGGGGGTCCTACGTGTACCTCGCATAACGTTGAGTATACCAGTTTTCTATTCGACTGGTCGTCTTCGTTAAGTAAGATTTTACCACTGCGCAGGTGGCCGTGGTTTAACGAAGAACGACCTGTCGAATACGGCCTTCGACTATAGAAGGATTTTTGAAAGAAACTATAGAGGGAGACAATTGTTATAATTTTCAAAATTTTACCGTGTGTACGTATCGCGTCGAGCAAGCGGAGCGCGAATGCGTCGGTTTCCTTTGCTTTGTGTAATAATTGGTCTGATCTGATGAACTGACATCGCCAAGAAAACATATGTAAAAAGTAAATTTGACATTACTTGCTATTTCTGTTTTTAAAAATGAGTTAATGTAATTAATTAGAAGGCTTTTCATAAGATTTCTTGAGCATTGCCATGGAAGGAGGGCCAAGCCAGGAAGGAGGAGAGGCCTAGAAAGGAGGAGGCCTAGGGGCCTAGGCCCCTAGCTAACTAGCCTAGGCCTAGGCTGTGTATATCTTCTAGGCCAGGACAGTTACTAGGGCCTAGCCTAGAAGGATTAAGCCCCAACATAAGGGGTGTAGACTAGAGACAGAGTCTCTTGGCGCTAATGCACTTTCGCACCTAACTTTTAATTTTTTTTAACTTTTAATTCTTAATTTTTTTTACCTCAATGAATGACTTAATGTTCTTCCCACAGTCATAACATATAATTAACAAACATGTTCAAATGATTTAACCACTCACAAAATACCTTTTTCAACAAATAAGCCCGCAAATAAGTACAGCGAATCTGTGCTCGCTAGCAATTTCTTACTTGATTGCAAAATAGCATGAACAGCTCGTCGTGCTAGCAAGTGCGGAAACGGTGTATCAACCTGTATTTTTTTGTTGAAAAATGTACTTTGTGAGTTATGTGTATATGTGTCAGCCAAAATGTGAGTACGAGATGTGGCTACGTGTTGGCATGGGTACGAGTTAGCCTGTGTTCTATTTCTTTTCAAGGTGTTAACAAATTTATTCTCATTTATTTTAGGTCAAGAACAGTTCAAATTTAGAAGTGATTGCTGTGAAACTTATGAGTATGGAAATACTGTTAGCGGTCAAATCCACCATTGGTTTGGGGTTATTTGAATTTACAGTCTTTCTTCTGGTAGATTCGTTTGTAAAATCATGTTTGCAATCAATAAAGTGAGTACTTTTTATAGTTTTTGGTCATGATTTGCCTTTTATTGATTAGATGTGTATAAGAGACAGAGGTAGGACTAGGCCCTAACTAAGCCATGGCAGGCATGTTGGACTGGAGAGACGAAGTACCGTAGATGCTTGAATAAGTGCCATTTTTGAATAAGCACCGTACCAAACCTGATTTTTTTCGCTAAGCGCCGCGGCGCTTATTCGAGGGTTATTATCTTGTGCAAAGAAAGACTTTGAGAAACAGGGTTTAAATACAATGTATACAGTGTTAAAATGAATAAATAAGACAATGAAGACACAAGCATTTCTTTATTATAAACGTTTATTTTCAATGACTTAGGACCTACTGAACTACATGAATACTTGAGATAGGCAACATGGAAACGGGCATGGAAAGCATCACGCCAATATTTTTTATAAGCGGGGCTCTCAAATAAGCGCCGCACTGAAGCTTCCAAAAATTTAATAAGCGCAGCGGCGCTTAGTCAAGCATTTACAGTTTATATTACTAATTATTATGCCTAGCTAGTCTTGACCCTTTTAGTAGCTATTGTAGGAAGCCAAGGATCTACAATATCTTTTTCTACCATGGGCTGTTGTGCTGGGTGTGTGACTGTAAAGAAAAAAAAAAGTCTTTAGATACTGTACATAGGTCCTCTCTAAATTTGCTGAGAGTGTGTTGCAAGGGTAAACAATAGAGAAGGGGAATATTATCTGTTTGGCAATTGGCATAAAAATAAAATACAATTAATTAGTATTTAAGTGTAATGAATTGCATGAATGAATTACAAATTAGAGAAACTAAAACCAAGCAAGAATACATTCAAAAAGTAAAATAACTGAAAATAACATAATAAAAGAAGATGGAAGAGATAAAAATAAAGAACGCAACGGGCCAGGTGTAAACGCCTCCACCATTGGGTGTGTCTGTCAAGCTATCCAAAGTCACAAATAACAGTCAGCATCTTGCAGATTTGAATTGATATGAACTAAACTTGTATTTCATTAACAATTCCTTACCATTCCACAAGCAGCATATTTTTTTGGGTGTCGGCTACTGGGCTGGAAAAAGTGAGCGACCGGTGGTTGGAGGCATCATGAATGTCCCGGAGGCAATAAATGTGAAAAATAAAATGTTAGGCTACAGTATAAGAGTACAGGTAACATTTGGTGCTGGTGGCACAAACCTTTTTTTTTCAGGCATGGTTGGCTATCTCGTACTCATGCCAAATCTGGTTTATGAGCTTTCCTAACATTTAATTTGATTTTGTTGCACATAGTGATAAACATCGGCACTGCTTCTTTGAGGAAATTGATATTAAAGCAGTGAAAAGATGCAAAATAATGAATTTGCAGAGATGGGTTAATTTTTCAGATATTCTTGATTGTTTGTAGGAGTGCGGGAGGCCGTCCCCATTTCCAGAAGACTCCCACAAGTTCCGGTACACTTGAGACCCATGTCTTTGTAAAAGTATACTAAACTTTGGTACGGACTAGCCAAATATAGGTACGAGCTAGCCAAATTATGTGTATATGTGTCAGCCAAAATGTGAGTACGAGATGTGGCTACGTGTTGGCATGGGTACGAGTTAGCCTGTGTTCTATTTCTTTTCAAGGTGTTAACAAATTTATTCTCATTTATTTTAGGTCAAGAACAGTTCAAATTTAGAAGTGATTGCTGTGAAACTTATGAGTATGGAAATACTGTTAGCGGTCAAATCCACCATTGGTTTGGGGTTATTTGAATTTACAGTCTTTCTTCTGGTAGATTCGTTTGTAAAATCATGTTTGCAATCAATAAAGTGAGTACTTTTTATAGTTTTTGGTCATGATTTGCCTTTTATTGATTTGGTCTAAGGTTGATTACTATTATGCCTTTTATTGATAATTGCCATTCAGTTTAGATTTAATTCCAAAGATGTTTTAAATCTAAAATAATAAAATTACGGCCCAAAAAAAAAAAAAAAAATTTATGCCAAAATAGTCCCCAGAAATGGATGTTTATGTTACTCAATCCCAAGCAACCAATATCTCTACATAGTTTTGGCAATCCTAATCCTCCATAAAACTCTCCAAATTACCCCAATCAGCAATTTAAGACTTAAGACTAAGATTTTTCTTAGCAACCCCTAAAGCCACAGCTGATCACTAAAACTTGAAAAGGACACTTTCCAAACGATATTTCATAAATTTGATACCTTAACCACAAACTTTTGTTTGCCAATAGCGATCATCGATGGTTGGCAATAACCCCTCAAATATAGCCTAGAACTACTACAGGAAAAATATGCAGGCCAACCAGCCAAGTTCCCAAAATTTCAATGTCTGAATAACACATCATTTTTTCTTATTTTGACCCTAGATTTGTTAACCTATTTGATAAAAAAGCCCCATTAAATAAATAATGTCTTCCAAAGATTTGTTTTGGATATAAGTTACTAAAAATTAATTTAAAAACTTGATTTCATATTTCTACTACACAATGAATTTATTTTCTTTTATTACAGTGCTCGAAGCCACCGTTGTCTTATTTGGGTGTGTGAATCGCTTGTGTTGTTATCGTTATCTCTTCTCATCTACACAGTTCATCACGTACCATACCTGCTTCTCATACTCAGTTTTGTCACATTCTTTTCTGCAGTCTTCCAATATTTTGATGTTTTAAGTTCTATTCAAACATTTTTACATGAATGTTACAGGCGTTACAATTGTTGTAATGTTTGGAACAGTTCATATTATATGGAGACAGAATCAGTAAACTCTCCATCTGGAATGGGTTCTTGCAGTCCACAAGTACGTGCACGGCCAACAATTCGCAGAGTGAAGCAATCTCCTAGTTCAATTGATCACTGTATTTCGCCAATTCGTAATCGGATAGAAAGTCCGACAAATTTTACACCTAACAGTATTGCACAAACATCAACCCCACGATCAGATCAAACCTTGAGTGTAAAATCCAAATTGAAATCTTGGGTTGGTATCAATCCCTATGTAAATCTACCACCAGGACTTCCAAATCGAGGGAATAACATGTGTTTTGTTAATTCAGTAGTTCAGTGCTTAGCACATACATCTCATCTCGTTAAGTCGTTGATCACAGAAGCAGAGGCAGATTTTCACACACACACGATTGAAACTCACTTTTTGAAAAGCTTTTCAGATATACTTGAGAAATGCGCTGTCATGCCTGGCTCATCAGATAAAAGCGTGGTTGATAATGTTCCGTTTTGTAATGCGGTTTCAAACTTAGTGCCGCATTTGGTTTCCAACCCATGTCACGGGCCTCAGCAGCAACAAGATGCTGCTGAAATTCTACTCTGGCTACTTAGCAAAACAAATGATATACTGAGCTTTAAACATAATAAACGCAGTGGCCGACAAACTAGGAGCAATCGAACCAGTCTGAAATCCTCTGACGCAAACAACTTCAAATGGAGAAACAAAGTGATAAATAAATTGCTGGAAAGTCATTGCCACAAAGAAATGGATGTTTTGTTGCGAATCAAGGAAGAAAAAAACTTGAAACTCACAAAGTGTGAAACAATGCATTCACTTTCCTGCATCGATTCAGTTATCACAGTATCTGACATAGCCTGGGTGCAGTATTGTCGAAACCACCCCACTGTGATCACTGACCTCTTTGCAGGTCAGCTAGCGGAGGTTCGTCAGAGTAGTATTACCAATGAGGTATCGTTTGGAACGCAGGCTTTTCACATCTTACCTGTCCCTCTTGTAGATCCGCGAAAAATCTCAGGGCTTGTACAGTTACAGGATTGCATCACTGCCATGGCAACTTTAGATGAACTTGGCGGCAATGGCTCCCAAGTTTCTATACCTACTTTTAGTCAAAGTAGATCAGATATTATGAGCAGCAGTACAAATAGCTCCATCATGGGCAATTCTTTGTTCACTGACGGACAGTATCAGACCATTCTGCGCTTCCCGCCGAATTGTTTGATTCTTCAGCTGAACAGATTCTATTTTGACCATGATGAGAAAATTGTTCGCAAGATCCATTCTCCAGTAAACATCGTCCATAAAAACCTGGACCTATCTCCTTTAGCGTATGACAAAAAAAATGGATGTTACAGTTCAGAATATCTGTATGATTTATATGCTGTTTGTGTTCATGAAGGAGGTGGTAACACGCAGTATGGACATTATTTGGCATTGTGCCAAGCTGGAGATGGAAAATGGTATAAATTTGATGACGAACACGTAACCCAGATCAATGTTAATTACGAATGCAGCTCGCTGTCCATCCGAGAGGGAGCATACTTGCTGTTTTACAAACGCCAATCTGATATTAAGTAATATACAGTAGTATAAAGCTTCAGTAATACTCATTGTGGAGTGGAGTATAACTTGTGGATATTGGTATAAAGAGGCTTGCTTTGTACAGTAATTCTTGGACCATTAGACTACAAGGCAAGCATTTTGTGATCCAAGCAACATGGGCAGGGCTGGAAAAAGTCTGCAGCTTGTTGGAGGCATCATGAACGTCACATAGGCATTTTTTGGGTAAAAATTCCAAAAAGTAAACTGTTGGGCTATAGTGTACAGATACACACTTTATAGTGTACATGGTACAGATAACATGGAGATGTGGTGGAGGCATTTTATTGGACAATTGTCATGGTCAAAGGGACAAACATTTTTTTTCCCCCAGGGCTGACCATGGGATTACAAGATGCTTGCCTTGTAAATCCATGGTCCTTGGTTCAATTTCTGTCACAGCAGGAATTTTTCTCACGACTAAATGTCATATGTTAAAGAGACTTGGTTTTAATCATCGTCCATTCCTGTTGATTGCGATTGAATACTGTATCTCATTGCTTGTCTTCTACTGTACCTCCGTGGTTGCAGTATTTGCTGCGAAGCAGCCAATTCATATTCTTGACAGCAATTTGACCTCTGAAAGGTCATTGTTTGTCAAAAAACCTGCGCCTAAGACTACTGAAAAGCGGAGTTTCCTTCTTTCGTTCTGCCGAGTAAAATCAATTACTTTAGGCGACGTTTGTAGACTAACCTACTCGTACCAACGTCGGCATGTCGCGACGCTGGAGTACTATTCAGCGTTTTTACTATATTTCTAGGTTTCCTATTTCTACGTTTAGTTGGCTCATGTCTCAGCCACAATATTTTGAGAACCCAGTTAAACTTATTTACTAGCCTATTTTAACGTGCTAATTATTACATTTAGGCGACGCTTTTTGTAGACTGACATAGTGTTTTCAGAAATAAATACCATTTTATACACATGCGCAGATCGATTCGGCAGCAGCGAGTCACCAGCAGCGAGATGTCACTGCAGCAAAACACTATTGTGCACGGTACCAACGCTGTTCTAATATAGACAATGGGTCGTGTCTCATATTATTTGTTATATTTTTATTATTCATTATTTTCACTTGACTCGCATAAATAATTTTGTTCGAAGAACATTTTATGCAGTTTTACTTCGCAGCACTCCACTTGCAATTTGCAATTTCTAGTTTATGTTGTTAAATTTTATGCCCTTGTGTTTTATGCTACATTTTTAGTACAGTACAGTACATTTACTTGCCATGCTCTTTTCTGCCTTCAAGTACACCCATGAACACGGTCAATAGGCCTTCACAACTTGCGAAAGCCTTCAAAATGTTCAGCGGCTGGATGATCATGACTTGTCGGTCGTGAATTTTGTGGCTCTGTACATTGTTCAAGGGTTCATTTCAACGAACTGTTTATGCCACTCAAAAATGAGTTCCTGTAATGTTATTATTTATTTAATCATTCATTGTTAAGCTCTGTCCAGATTCTAAAATGTTGTCTAGAGGGAGCTTTCAAACATGTGGTGGTGGTGTGGTGATTGACGCGACGCCGTGGCGTCGCGTCAATCACCACACCACACCACACCGACAATCACACCACACCACAATCACACCAATCACGCAATCACGCCACACGACACCACACCGACAATCAGCAGACGGCGCGCCGTCTCGGACTGTCGGTGTGGCTGTCTCTTATACACATCTAGAAGTTTTTTTAGATCCAGCTGTAGGGGGCGTCCCATTTTTCGTATTCCCACCATGCATTTCGGTGGAACACGGTGGAACACTTTTTTTGTGTGGAGAACTCTATCTTGTATTTCTAGTATCTTTGGCCGAGCCCATTGATTAGTGCATTATGCCTTCATTTGATGTTAATTAACTTTGTCAACTTAATAGATAATTGTACACTAAAGTGCATTATTATCAATTATTAACCCATGTTATGCAATTTGTAATTAATTCGTTTTTAAAATTGGGGGAGAACAAGGTGTATTTAAATTATTTTAGTTATATTTTCAACCAGTATCTCCCTGAGGGTTTTTACAGTTCTCTATTTAAACAAAAGTGTAATTAAAGTAAAATACCGGTACTACCTGCATGTATAAATTTTCTAGTTTATTTTAATGCAAATGTTATTACTATACCTCATGAATGATAGTTACCTGTAGGTAATTAACATTTTATTGGTTTGATTCCACTCTATTCTATACAGTATTTGCAATGAGTATAGAGTATATTTTACTGTAGGCAGAGGTGTGGTAGTCGTTTTTGGGTAGTACTTTTTTCCCAGTGTATGCATAAATATGGCATGCGCATGGTGGCATTGACGAATGGAATGTTATAACCTATAATGTTTCTGATGTACAGGTATAGTAATATCTATAATTGAGAAAAATATGTCCTACTTTGATTATCTAAGAGAGTATAATGCAGTACCCCAACTACAGTAGGCCTTGTAGAGCAAGTACTGTAAGCCAGACTTTTTTTATACCTTATTTTGCGAATCCACCGCCCTCCGATATTAATAATATTAAATTTTATTTTTGACCAATTAGCGCACCTGCTGCGTCAAAAAACTGGAAATTTCCGGAAAAAATTAAAGTTTTTTAAAAATTTTATTATGCCCTGAAATCTTTAAAAATAAGGTATGTATAATTTCTTCTTATTAATATTAATTTAAAGCATTTAACCATACCATTTCTACACTGTTGAAATTCAAAAATAAAATTTTATTTCTATTTTATCCTCCATCTGGATTTTTCTGGCAAAATTATTTGCTAAATATACAGAAAACAAAATTTTTTTTAAATTTTTTTCCACCAGCCTCTGATGATCTTTAAAAAAGTAAGTTTGCGAAACAACAAATAAAAAAAGTCTCGCTTAATGTATTTTGGGAATTCCCCATATACAAGATTACATCATAGATTCGCTCACATGACTAAAATACTGTAATCAGGTTTAGGCTGGTAGAATTGAATCCAAGACAGTACATTTTCTCAAGCACGATAGAGGGGTTACACATTTAATATTAATTTAGTGTTAGTAATAATTAAGGTTGTACAGTAATTATATTTTTGTTTCTTAATATTATAATTGTACTATACTCTGTGTGAATATGACAAATGCATTGTAGGTGTGAATCTATTTTCTGTGTTACAATTAATTTGTACTAAACTCGAAGACAAGGAATTAAACTGCTGCTAAACATTTGTAAGTTTTAAATGTGCTGTATAAGCCAAGCCTGCATTAATATTAACAAATGGTTATCATGCTCAAAGTATGAGATGTGCAATTAATTTGTTTAATTAAATTTAATTTGTATTTTTCAATTATATTTTTTTAGCTTCCAAAGGGAATTTTACTATGGAGATGTTCCATACTTTAACATACTTTAAGTACATACTGTATTGACATTGGTGCTAATAGAAGAAAAGTTTGTTTTTAATCACTTGAGTGATTTTTCTTACTCAGCATGTTTAGAGTAGGGGCTTTCAAGGGGCCACATATGTTCCTTTATATGCCACTGTTAACATACTGTAGCTGTACAGTTCATATTGATGTCCATAATATAAAAGTAGGCCCACAATTGGTAAACAATTCAATTTTGATGATTAAATCAACAAAAATTGAATTGTTTTTATATGAGCCTCATGGCATATTTGATGTAAATTTGTCGTTTGATCAATTTTTTGTTTCTAATTTATGTAATGTGGCACATAGCTACTAATAATAGTCAATTAAGCCTGAAACAACAAGCTTGGTTTCCATAAAATCGCTGCATGCTAAGCTATTGCCACCCCGTCATCAACAGCACAGTGTACTGATTTCAATGAATACACTGTAGCTATTTTATGGAAACCAGGTTTACTTGTCAAAGTATGGTGGGTAAAAGAAAAACAATAAGTAGGCCTTGTATATGGTTTATTCACCAGTTTGTACAGCAGTGCATGTTCTTTTACTAGAATACACTTATTTTTTGCCAATTAAAATGTCATTTTGTATGCAAAATGAATCAAGTATGTAGTGATACTCATTGCGATTTGTTGTCTTGGTGACTGCGATTTCAATAGACTTTGGTACGTATTAATTTGCAAATGTAAAGGTGGCTTCAGATATACAGTACATAGAGGAGAGAGCAAAGCTTTGGATTTGAAAATTTAGGCAGGTCTTTCGTGTTAAACTAAAGGCCTGTTTTACACTGACGATAATGATCAACGATGACAAGCTTGAAAGCAATTGTTCATATAGAGAATGAAAGAAATGCTGCAAAAACTTTTCGCACTAGCCTGATTCGATAACAAGTTATTGTGTATACGATAACAAAATATTTTCACAAATCAAATCAAATTTTATCGTTTTACACGATTATGACATCATTTGATTTGATTTTTGAAAATATTTTGTTATCATATACACGATAAATTGTTATTGAATCGTGCTAGTGTGAAAACTTCTATTTCTTTTATTATTTTCTATATGAACAATTGCTTTTTAGGTTTTTATCTTTGAATGTTATCGTCACAGTGTAAACAGGCTTAAGAAGAACAAACAAGTCAAATTCATAGAACAAAATCATGCTGTGTGATGTTGCATTTAAATATTGTGTTTGATCTTTATTGATTTCTCAATTGCTTTGGAGATGTGCTACCTTGATTAATGATACAAATCAAATTTTAAATTAATGTGTACAGTATAATATTATATACATTTAAATCGTTTTCTACAGCTGTTGGTGGGGTTTATATCCACAGTTTGCCTTTCGCTTGTAATTTTGAGGCTTATTGATAACTAAAAGCATATATTTTGTTGTGAAATTGTAGGCCTATAGTACAAATTTCAATTTGGAACTGGATAAACACCCTCTTTCTGCTCCCTCTCCTTCTTTCGTCTTTTCTTAGATATCTTTCTGATATGCAAAAATCTCCATAGGCATCATATATTTTCTGCCAAAAAGCAGGGCCTGCCTCCCACTCCCCGGTTGCGCCGGCCATGGTTATTAAACAAATTATTTTATAGGAAGAGCAATGGAATGCTACATACTGAATACCGCCAGTGCTTATCCTCGCTCTTTAACATTTTTGGAAAATAGTTCTGTTCCTAAAATTTTTTACGATACAGTACAGATGAAGGTGAATACACAATCAAATATCATCAGCAACACAAGAAACTGAGAGATAGTAATTACCCTTATGCATATACAGTACAATAAACAATAATGATGAAATCAACTATATTTTATCAATTGTTACAGTAAAATATCATGTATTCAATTAACAATTCCATGAAAAGTATAAACTTAGAAACTGTGGAGAAAAATAAGTACAGGTATTATGATGTAGACTGCACCAAGGTAAGTTGAATTTTGGATTGTAAAAATGATGATGAAAATATCGATAAACTATTATTATTATTATTATTATTATTATTTGAATGTGAATTTAAATAATCATTTAAGCAATCGTCAGTTTAATATCATTAGTTCTAATTCACATAAATACTGTAAATCAACATGTTAGTATACAGTAGTCTATGGTAAACGCATACGGTAATCAGTAAACGCGTTCCCACGCGATATTTCTAAATATCGCGTTGAGGTTGAGTATTGACAACGGACTGGCGAACCGCAGGAAAACAACTCGGCCGCCGCGAAATTGAATATCTATTTACGTATCTAAGCTTAGGGCTAAGTAAATAGTTGATATAGTAACTAACATATTTTAGAGTTAGTACTGTATACACATATTTAAAGAGGTAACGCTTGTTAAAATAGTACTATAGGGCCTAGATGCTAGCTTCAGCAGGCCTAGCGTCGTAGGCCTAGCCTAGCCTAACCAACAGTCAGTTGGGCCTCGGCGGTGTCGTGTGGTTTCGTCCGGAGGGAGTCCCTACTTCTAGGCCCTAAGATGGCGAGGGTAGGCCTAGCCTACGTTTGGCCATGTGTTGGTGAATTAGTAACTTTAGCACGGCAGCTTGGGGTAATGTGGACGCTCCGGACAAAAGCACCATTTTTTTTTACATGCTCCTCAGGAGCGTACGGTGAAAAATCTAAGGGGAGTCGAAACAAAAGCGCAGGGGGCCAGCTGAACTCGGGGCAATTTAGCGAAGGTTTCAGAACGCTGGGTGCATTATTTGTGAGTGAAGCGAGCATATTTAAAGCAGGGGCAGATTTGGGGAGGGAGCCGGCCCGGCCCCGGCCTCCCTTTTGGGAGGTAGAAAAAAAGAAAAAAGAAAGAAAAAAAGGAAGGAAAAGAAAAAAAATGATAGCCCAGAACGCCTCAAATGTTATTTTCGGGCATCTAGAACACCAAAATCTCACGGGGGCATACCCCCGGACCCCCTAGGGCATTGTTGTTTTGATCGGCCCAAATTTCGGCACCCTTTCGGTCCCCCTTTTGGACATCTCTGGATCCGCCCCTGTTTAAAAGCTTTCTTTATAAGGGGGTCGACCACACCCATCGAACCCCCACGGTACGCCCCTGCTCCTTATTAATAATGGTCATCATTCATTCAGTTTTTGGCAGGGGTGACACGGGGGGTGGGGGGTGGGAGGAGAAAAAAAAGCACTATCCTATGTATTATCTACATTAAAATACTCCAAAATCTATTAAATTAGCCTTTGAAACCCCTAAATTGTCATATATTTGCTTTGCCACCCCTCTGGAACACTCTCAAGAGTTTTTGAGCGATGCCTGATCACGCCAAACTTTTTTTGGTCAGCGACATTCCCATCGGGCAACTCCTGGCACCACCACTGATTTTGGTAGGAGCCATCTCATCCTAGTTCATTATGGCAGCCATCTTGGATTTCAAAATGGCCACCTCATAAAATCTATGTTTATCCATATCTCTGCTTCTAAACCACTTGGAATTATAATTCTAATGTCTGAAAGTATGTTTAAATGGTCAAGGAATACGATCATATCATTTTTAGAGATGCATGACCAAGCCCATTGTTGCTATTGTCGGGGACATCGAGACCCCATCAGTGACCTTAAGCCTCTGTTGGGCAAATCACGGCGCCCCCTGAAATTTTACTGGATCCTCAACGGTCAGCTGTTCAGATAAAATTCTCTTTGTATGTTGACCACCCACTTCACAGTTTTAGCAGATCGGGTAGAATTGTTGTAGATCTCAAAACCAAAACAAAAAAATAGACATAAATATTCATTCCTAGTGCAATTAAGATGTTAAATGAAAGGTTTATAGATAATTTTATTTCTTTTTCATATTTTCAGTTGTGTGTTATCTGTGCAATTTGTAGTATATATTATTATTATATATTATTATTACTTAAATACTATTTTTATTTATTTTACCGGAAAAGAAAATTTCATGTATTGTATTCACAACAGTATATGACTAATAAAATGAAATTGAACTTAAGATAGCCTTCCCTATTAATGAAGTTGGTTGTGGTGCAGATGAGGATGATGATGTTGGTGGAGGAGGTGATGATTGATTTAGATCATATGATTCCAGTATTTGTTTGCTTTTAGATCAAGTAAATACTGTATAATTCATATTCAAGACATTTAATTTTTCAGAATATTTGTGTCATAAAGATTGAGGCCCACAATAACACAACATGGCTTGCACATGCTCACAAGAGGGATGTCAGCAGAGAACGAGCGAAGTTGTCAAAGGTGTTCATGCTAAGTTGCGAAAGAAATTAAAAGAAGGTTAGTGGGCATTATATGTTGAGATTTTAGTGACTCTAATTTGAGGGAAATCAACTGCAGATTTTTGTATTGTGTATTATTCAGCATTCAGAACACATCTGCATGAATGGTCAATAAGGCTTTTTTAAATATATAAAATAAATTAATAAATTTGTAATATAGTTATTCACAAAAGACATTTCACCCCTTATGGACTTCCAAGGCAGCAGCAATCAGTTGGGTGGGCATAGTTACCAACCTGAGAGATTTGAAATGTGTGAGTGATCAGTTAGTTTGGGGGAGGGGGAAGCGTCGGGGGATATTCCCCCGCCGACGATCTGAGCATTTTTAAGCTGTTTTAAAACGATTTCAGGGAGTGTTTGTTGATAATACGGGTACATAAGCAAAAATATTATTATAAAGCCACGTACAATTTGATTTTCAATGTAGGGCTATGTATAATTTGAGCACCCGAACTATGTTTACCAACAAAGATTTTATATTTTTAATAAAATCAATTTCTTTCAATTTTAAATACATCTTCCCCCGAATTCGTGATAATTTGTTATATTGCATAGACTTGTGTTAAATGCGTGACAAATTTAGGATCACGCATGTGTTTCTGCAAAGTGTGTGTTTCATCCAAAATCACTTTGAAATGTGGGACCGTCCTACACGATGTGAAAGGGTTAGTAACTATGAGTGGCGGGTTGGGGGAGACACTAAGGTGAAGTGGGGTCTATGTTTAAGTAAGGGGGAACTAGCTTGCAAAATAAGGTGATTTTAACTACTTGGCCATGAAGTTTTTTGCTTCAAATATTTTGAATGGGGGTGGGGGATGCAAGCATTTTTAGGGGCATGTAACCCCTAGATATGCCACTGTGACCAGAAGATATAAGTATCTCATTTAAATGGAAAAAAATAGTACTAGGCATAATGAAATGCTTTACACTTGCTCAAAAACATCTTTTGACTGTGCTGTGATTCTTAATACTGCCCTCTTTTGTTAAATGAAACAGCTTCCTAATACTGTTGAAGAGTAACAGTAAATGAAAGACTTTTCAAACTAACAAATTTATTTTTACACAAGCTTTTGACCATGCAGTGGTCTTCATCAGGTGAATGTACAAATAGGATAAAAGTGTGGTCATACAGTTAGATCAAAGAGGGTAGATGCTCTACAAGTAACGGTATCTGAGTATGAACAAAGGAATAGTAGTAGAGTAGGAAATGACTTTTTGTATTTGGTAAGATTTCTTCCAATGTAGGCCTATAATTTAATTTTCTCTAAAAAATACCACATAATATTGTAAGAAAAGATTCTTGAAATATGATTTAATCCCAGAATAATTATTTTATTAGAATTTACAAATGATTGGCTGGTATTACTGTATCAAATGACATGTGTAGATCGCGACCTAGAAAGTCACATGACCAGTTACCGCTACTAAATTCATATTTCCGAAAACCTAGCCTAGAGAAAGGTGGGGTCAGGGGAATGAAGTTAAGTGCTAACATGATGGAGAAATAATCAGAGTTAATTAAGTGATCTGTCTTTGAGGACATTTGACTAGACTGACCAGGCCAACTGACCGATTGGACATTTTAAAGATTACTCTAATTTAGTGAAGGTGACATAATTAGGATAGTGAATTAAGAATTAACAAATTTAATTTGTAAGCATAATGTATTGAAAGATACGATGGTATTTTTAGATTATAAGAGACATTTTTTATGCTTAAATTAATATTACCTTAAGAAATATGTTAGACTGAGAATTAACAAGATAATGCAAATTTGCAGTTTATTCTTTTAACCATTATTTTACCAAATTATGGAAACCAGCTGTTTGTACCTCATGCATTGAATAATTAATAAGAAAATCATTTGTGCCAGAACTGATACATCTTTCACAGTGCAGGTTAATAGAATTTTCACTTTCGTTTTTAAACATTTTTACATTTATATATTTATTTATTTATTTGCATTTCATGTATATCTATTTAATAATAATAATTTTTTAAATTATTTTATTTATTTGTTCGTCTATTTATTTGTTTTATTATTTTATTAATTAATTTTCAGTAATTTCCCTGTTCTTTAATTAACACTGTAAATTGAGTAATGCCACCACTTGGGAATGAGGAGAAATGTAATAATATCATGTTTCATTACACAGCACAGATTTTTGCCATACAGCTAAAAAGTTGCAAAGAGCAATGGGATTTCTACTCGATCACTCTCCAGCAGTTAATGGATAAGCATTTCCCCTTGGTTGCAGCTTCCCGTATCAAACAGGATAAGCCATGGGTAACTAATCACTTCAAACATCTTGTCAAAAAGCGCCAACAAGCCTTTGAATCTGGAAATAGAGCTGATTACAAGTTGTTCCGCAACAAAGTTAACTCAGAGTCAAAACGACTCCGCCGCAGGTTCTACAAAAGACGTATTGATTCTTTGCTGAACTCAAACCCTAAGTCCTGGTGGAACAATATTTAAAAATTTCTTAACTTAAATAACAAATCCAACAGCCTTACCAGCTTGGCTAATTCACTTTTTAATGGAAATAAGCACCAACTTGCAGAAAGCTGTAACACATTCTTCCATTCCCTAACGAATGAATATGACCGAATTACTCCTATTCCTCCGCCTGACCCCAATGTTGCCCCCGATTACCTTATTATTAATCCGGATGTAGTGGAACTTAAATTACATAGCATTTCTTGTTGTAAAGCACCTGGCCCTGATAATACTCCAAATTGGATGTTGAAAGAGCATGCTTCAACATTTTCAAAACCCTTATGTACCATCATCAACTCAAGTCTACGTGAAGGTTTTGTGCCTCAGATTTGGAAAAGTTCAAACATAGTCCCAATTCCTAAAGTTAATCCACCAAGAAATATTGAATGTGATCTTAGACCAATCTCACTCACCCCAACTACTGCCAAAATTGCTGACAGTCTAATTAGGGAGCACTTATGGAACCAAGTAACATTTAATATTGATTCTAACCAATTTGGGTGTATGAAGGGTGTGTCAACAGTTGATGATTTGACTAGAATTTTATGTGTTATGATGCTACTGATAAAAGTAATGAATTGTGTACAGTATATTACTTGACTTTAAGAAGGCCTATGACTTAATTGACCACAATATTGTTATCAAAAAGCTGTCGATCCATACATTGTTGCTTGGGTTAGTTCATTTCTTAGTAATAGGCTTTAAAACAGGGTAAAATTGGGTGATAATCTTTCTGAATGGCTTTCACCAAATGGAGGCTCAGGCCAAGGTACTTGGTTAGGTGTTATTATTTTTCTTATTTTTATTAATGACCTGTATACTGACAATCATAATGTTAAATTTATGGATGATACCACAGTAGTTGAACGAATACCTAAAAATCAACTAAGTAATTTACAGAATGATGTCAACCTTATTGTTAATTGGTCAGATAGCAATCATATGAAACTTAATGTAAAAAAAAACCAAAGAGTTTGTGATAAGCTGTAAAAAAGTTAAAACATAATTTGAACCACTCTGTATAGAAGATAGTAACATTGATTGTGTGTCCGTAAATAAATTGCTTGGACTCGCCTTGAGCAAGTTTATCCTGGCAACCGCATATTGATAACCTCATTAAGAAGTGTAATTCTAAATTATTTTTTCTCCGACAACTGAAACGGTCAGGTGTTGATAGCCATGCATTATTGCTGTTCTATAAACAGGTAATTAGACCTGTATTAGAATATGCAGTGCCAGTATGGGGCATGAACATTACCAGGACCAGTCTTACCAAATTGATCGCATTCAGCATAGAGCCTGCAAAACAATCTTTAAGGAAACTTGTACTGTTGGTGATAGCCTTGTTATTCCACTCAAAGTTAGAAGGGACAACCTGTGCAGCGGATACTTCACCAAGGTTAAACATCCTGCGCATGTACTACATAATTTGCTACCTGACAAAACAAACATAAACTATAACCTTCGAGCTCCCAGAGAGTTTAAGTTGCCAAAAGTGAGAACAAAGCAGTCTCGTGACTTTATTTTAAACCATGAATTTTTTTCCAAATGGTGAAATTTCCCTCGACAAGTTTTTCCCCTTCCTTCCCTTCCCTCTTGCTTCCGCCCTCCCCCCACATAATAAATTATTAAAATTAATGAGATAAAATTTCCTGTAGGCTCTTTTAATTTTTTAATTTTTAATTTCCCTAATTTTGGTGTCCTTTCTTGGTACGGTACCCTGCTTTTTCTTTTACTTGTTTTGTAGCTGTAGTTGTTGCTGTGGTTGTTGTAATTGTATCATTTATAATGTTTTCTTATTTTTTTGTACTTTAATGTTGTGATGATTCTCAAACGAGAATTTTAAATGTTTCATATTTATATTTTGTATATTACTAATAATTTTTCTGTACATTTCAAATTTTCCTTAAGTTTGCAAATAAAGTTATTTTGAATTTGAATTTGAATTTGAAATTTGAATTTGATGATATAGATTTTCATAATTCCCAATCAGTTGAATTTAAAAAAAAAAATTATTAATGTATTGACCTTTTTTGTCTAATATAGATATTTGACAGTTGTTGTCATGACAACTATATGCTGAATACCCTTGAGATTCAAGGGCTTACTTTTTGATGTTTTAATATCTGCATTTATTGATGCTATCTGTATTAATTGACCTACTCTCTGGGTCTTGAAGGACCTGGAAATATGGGAGCTAGGCTGTGGTTGCAAACTATTTTTAGAAATGAAAATTACAATTTTGGCAGCAAACACTTTATTGATGTGATGCTCTATAAAGCTGATAACCTGGTCCCAGGAGGCTTAGGAATTTATTGGTTTGTTGTTTTTTTTTGGTTTTTTTTTTGGGGGCATGAGAAAAATATGTTTGCATTCTCAAGAACAGAACCCATGACTATTTGATTGGAAGTTGAACACCAACCACAAAATCACAGATTACATTGTTTTACATGCAGTTGGAATTGCTAGGCTATATCAGGGTTTCAAAAGGAAAATCTTCT